CCCCCCCACCCCCCCCCCCACCCCGCTCCCCTCGGTCGTGCGCGCACATGTAGCCTGATACTTCTTCCGCCCCTTCTCCCCGTGCTGGCTCCAAGCTCTCCCTACTCTCTTGGTGCTCCCGCACAGGAGGATGAACTGCCGAACCTGTGCACTCCTCACTGCTCTACCGACCGTAACGCAGCTCCCTCCCACCCCTGGGCTGGGGACAGCCAGCTTACCTGCGTACGCAGCCCAGTGGATCGGTTGCCTTTCCTTCTTGTCACACGCACTAACAGTGGCCCCTTTATTCAACAGCAGGTGAACCATCTGTACGGAGAAAGACAACGGATTGGGAACTCTTTTAGCTCAAAAACCTCTGGCCCCGCTACCCGTCCCCAAACCTCCCCACCAGAGTATGGGCACATCGCTGAGGAATCAATGGGTCCCTGAGCTGACGTGGACTCAAACCCATCACTAATGGTGTCTGACATGCCTATTAACCAGGGCGGGGGGCTTGGTTACACACACATTCACAAGAGTAGATTAACATGGCAGGAGGGGGTGGCTGTCTTCATGAACACAGGTACCAGGTAGAAAAGCAGGACGCTCGCTCTTGTGACAAAGCTGTGGCTTTAAGAGGTAGATTTTATCCTGGTTTCTTTCAGGGGTGAGATTGAACGAGATCTACTAAGCAGTCTGTGGTGACGTAAACAGCTCGGGAGGCCGAATGTAATTTTTCTTTTTAAGAACATTGCAACAATAGAAGCAGCCTGGCTGGGTGTGGCCAGCTCTCACAAAACAGAATTCCTAACTTTTTATTTAGCTTTTAGATTCACAGAAGCTGCTGGAGTTTTGGAGCAGCAGAAGCTATTTTCCCTCTCTCTCTCGGATACAGCTAGAAGCTGGAGTTTCTCTTACTACTGCAGGTGTCGCACGTGAGAAACTCGGATTTCTGAATTTGCCTTTTTGCCAAGGGGCTGTGTTTACAAGATGTTACTATTTTGGACCAATTGATTAGTAATACTTACTGTATCTATTATTCTGTTAAGTTTTCCAACAGAGTTAATTTATTATAAGTTATTCTAAATTTCTTCTTTCTTTCGTTGTATTTTAACGAGTGTTTATATTGTGTTTTTGCTTAACGTTGAGTAGTTTGAGCAGTCGCATTGCCTCTACAACATGGCACTTCACATCTGCCTTTTAAAATAAGAAAAAGTTAGGGTCTAGGCTACCTCCTTAAAATATTTCCAGGGGGCCTGGTCTGGTCCATAGCACTCTGAACGCGGGAGAGTGCACAGCAAGAGCCCAAAGCCCACGACTGCCCTCCAGTGTGGGCAGTACACAAGTGGCTGGCACAGCTGAGCTGTAACAAGGTGGGGTAGGGGGTTTGTAGTGACGAGGCCAGGCTGCCTGCGAGCCAGCGCCGTTCTGTTGGGAAAATCACAGGAAGGGAGTGGGGTTTGCGAGAGAATGGGGCTGAATGGCCTCTTCCTGTGCTTGCTGCAAAACAGAGCAAGACGGGGTGGGGGGAACATCACTGGACCCACAGCCCAGAGAGCGAGGCTGACGTAGGTTCAAATTCCGACCCACAGACTAGCGAGCTGCAAATGTGATTAATATGCTAGTGGCATGGTGGCTCAGTGGTTAGCACTGCTGCCTCACGGCGCCAGGGGCCTGGGTTCGATTCCACCCTCAGGTGACTGTCTGTGTGGAGTTTGCACATTCTGCCCATGTCTGTGTTAGTTTCCTCCAGGGGCTCTGGATGCCTCCCACAGTCCAAAGATGGGCAGGTTACGGTGGATTGGCCGCGCTAAATTGTCCCATAGTGCCCACAGACGTGCAGGTTAGGGTGGATTGGCCATGGGAAATTGTCCCATAGTGCCCAGGTTAGGGTGGGTTGGCCATGGGAAATGTGGGGTCTGCGTGGGACGCTCTTCGAAGCAGTTCAATGGGCCGAACGGTCTCTTTTCAGGGATTCTACAATTCTATTCCGTGAACGAGGAGCCCAGCACCGAGACCGGGGTGGTGAGGGAGAAACTCCGTCTCCACCTAGTACACTCGGGGATCGCTGACTCCTCGTTAACGCTCCCCTTCCCTCCCCCTCCGCGGGAGGGCAGTGGGGGCAATCAAGCCAGGAGTCAGACAGACAGCTCCTCCCTGCCTCCAAATCCTCAGTACGCTCACCTCAGCATGGCTGCTGTATGCAGCATGATGTAAAGCTGTCCTCCCAGTACGGTCACAGATGTTCACACTGCTCAGGAATGGGATCAGGAGCTCAGCGCATTTGGTGGTTTTGTTGGCAGCAGCGACATGGAGGGGGTTCTGCCACTGCTTATCCCGGGCATTAACGTCAGCAGAGTGCTTTAGCAGGGCGCTCACAGCTCTCTGTGGAAACAAGGCCAGTATCAGCTCAACCCTCGGCGCCGACCCTCCGACAGCGCCCCACTCCCTCGGCGCCGACCCTCCGACAGCGCCCCGCTCCCTCGGCCCTGACCCTCCGACAGCGCCCGCTCCCTCGGC